TGCTGACGCGTTTCGTTATTGATTTATCAAAGGATTGGACGAAAATTTCGTACCGATTAAATCGGATTGTCATTTTCATTCATATATATATACCGATTAAATCGGAGAAATTTTCATATATATATATATATATATATATATATATATATATATATATATATAAGTAATTGTCTATAGATCCGTGGTACTTGAAGTGCGGCGTACAACCAGAAGGGAGCAGTTTAATTTTTTAAGTGGCTGGGGAGCAAGATTGAATTATTAACAGTGATTTTTTTCTCATAAATTTGTGTGAGTATCAGCTTGTGTGCGAGATAATACATACGGTGCATATAAAGTATGCATACATGAAAATATTAGTATGTATGTGTGGATATGTGTAATTACGCATGTGCTGTATATATATATATATATATATATATAACAGAGTAGATAAGTTGGTTAATAAATCAAAGGCAAACGGAAGGGTACCGATGTGATGAGTACGAAAAACATTTATTAATATTAACCACATGACAGAAATGAAAAACGATATGTTTACGTATTTGTACTCAGGTATAAAATTATCAATGTTTATGCATAGTCTCAGGTATAAACATTATCAATGTTTACGTATATACTCAGGTATAAACATTATCAATGTTCATGCATAGTCTCAGGTATAAACATTATCAATGTTCATGCATAGTCTCAGGTATAAACATTATCAATGTTCATGCATAGTCTCAGGTATAAACATTATCAATGTTTACGTATATACTCAGGTATAAACATTATCAATGTTCATGCTTAGTCTCAGGTATAAACAATGCATAGTCTCGGGTATAAACTGTTATATAATGTTTACGTACAAACATTATCAATATTTACGTATAAAGTCAACTATAAAACCGATCATTGTTTGCATATAAAAAGAAGTATGAACCCGATCAATGTTATGCATTAACATTGGCATAAACCTTACCATTTATATTCGATATTAAAAATATCGACCATAGGCACTCTTGTGGGTAAACAAGAAAGTTTACTTATTTTTAAAATATTTATCTATGGTTTGAAATATATCACACACACGCACACATACATATATATACAAACACACGCGCATGTGTGTAATCGTAAAATTATGAATATCAGCATATGTATAGAAATTCAAACAATAATATATACAATTTTAATCATAAGCCTAACAACCTACAATTAATATCTTAATAGTACTTAATCTAATTAGTAACCTAATAAATTAATTAATAACCTAATAAGTTAATTAAGTTAATTAACAACCTAATAATACTTAATTTACAATCAAACCAGATAAGGAAACAAAACAATGGCCAAGTGAAGACATATAAAAACATTTACTCTATTATTTAAGCAGCGTAAAATTGTATTTTATTTTTTTTACATAAATAATTAATTTTAATCATTTATATAAAAAAATGAAATGCAATTTTCCTAAGTCAAAAATCCCCTATGAGGAACAGTCATTAGACGTGAAGTGATTAAGCGAGTCCGTCACATACGACTTCTGGTTAAACAAAGGTTCGAATCCCGCCAGTGGACGCATATTTACTGCCAAGTTTTCTCGATATTCAGGTCGATAAATATAATTAAATAAAAATACTGTTTAATTAAATAAACAGAGGGTTTTCTCGATTATGAGTATCCATCTAAAATAACATTTAAGCAAAAGAAATTAAAATATGTCGGATATAATCCATTTCATAATATATACATATAGATAGATAGATAGATAGATAGATAAACTTAGCAAAGAGCATTTATAGTGTTGACATAGAAATCAACACTGTATGTTGACTCCCAGTTTTATGCTTCAATGACAATCACATGTAGTATAGATTCCTATGTCATCTCTCTCTCTCTCTCTCTCTCTGTATATATATATATATATATATATATATATGACTACAATTATTAAATTTATCACTTGGCTGATTGTTGTATCCTTCAGCATCCCGACTCCAGAGTTTCGTAGACTGACCCACTAGCAATCACTCTGTCCACTCGGTCACGGGGTAGGTGGTTGTAGGCAATGTTGGTCTCTTACATACACACGCACATGCACGGATGCATACGCGCAGACAAGCACACGGACACACACACACACACACACACACATATATATATATATATATATATATATATATATATATATATATATATATATATATGCGCAATACAATGTTCCCGTTTTCGAACTGTAACAATGAAAGTAAGTTAAGTAAATGTTTAAATACACATAATAATCAAACTGCTTAAAATATATAAACATGTTATTTCCAGGATAAAATTAATATCGTCTGATTGGCCGGACATTACTGGAATGTGAAATTGTAACTTAAGTCGTAAGAAAAGTGGAAAATATTTATTCTCAGCCTTCAATTCAAGTAGATTTTCGTGAAAATCGGTCTCAAGAAATCCCGATAAGTGTCGAATCGTTTCTCACGAATAACTTGAAGAACTATTAATCATTAGGTTTTGCTTTATGATTCCTAAAGTGTTTCTTTTTTTTAAGTGGTTAATTTGGAAATTTTAATAATCGGTAAAGCGGTGCTGCTTCAAGTACATGCGTTATGGCAAATATTCTGATTTCTTTGACTGATAGATAGATAGATAGATAGATAGATAGATAGATAGATAGATATGAACAGACTGAGATATATAATGATTCGACTGAGATAGATAGATAGATAGATAGATAGATAGATAGATAGATAGATAGATATGAACAGACTGAGATATATAATGATTCGACTGAGATAGATAGATAGATAGATAGATATGAACAGACTGAGATAGATAATGATTCGACTGAGACAGACAGACCGACAGACAGACAGATAGATAGATAGATAGATAGATAGATAGATATGAACAGACTGATATATATATATATATATATATATATATATATATATATAGATAGATAGATAGATATGGTGATTTTTTAAACTTAAAGCCGAAAGAATGGGGGACTCAGTGAGAACCGAACACATTTTCAGTCGTAACTGATCATGCGAGATAAGCTTGTTAAACAATACACCACGTCTTTAGATTTTCTAAGCTACGCTGAGATATGGCCCAAGACCGAAAATGTGGTACACTCAATTAAGATCGAACTCACTCAGCAGTAATTAATCTAGCGGGACATGCTTAATAACCATTACGCTACAAAGAAATGCCCGATAGTTTGATACATAAGAACAGTCTAGGATAGATAGATAGATAGATAGATAGATAGATAGATAGATAGATAGATAGATAGATATGAGCAAACTGAGATAGATAGATAGATAGATAGATAGATAGAGCAAACTGAGATAGATAGATAGATAGATAGATAGATAGATAGATAATAGATGAATATGAGCAAACTGAGATAGATAGATAGATAGATAGATAGATAGATAGATAGATAGATAAGGAATAGGTTTATTTAGATAGATAGATAGATAGATAGATAGATAGATAGATAGATAATGAATATTTAAACTTAGATAGATAGATAGATAGATAGATAGATAGATAAGGAATAGGTTTATTTAGATAGATAGATAGATAGATAGATAGATAGATAGATAAGAATGAGTTTACTGAGATAGATAAGACAGTGATAGATAGATAGATAGATAGATAGATAGATAGATAGATAGATAGATAGATAGATATGAGCAAACTGAGATAGATAGATAGATAGATAGATAGATAGATAGATAGATAGATATGAGCAAACTGAGATAGATAGATAGATAGATAGATAGATAGATAGATAGATAGATATCAGCAAAATGAGGTAGATAATAAGCACACTCTGATAAATGCATGTGAACAGACTGCGATAACTATCTAGCTATTTATATAGATAGATAATAAATGGCCGTTCTGCATCGAAATTTACTTATTTCATTTTATTTATTTGTTACCAAACTAAAAAGTCATTAATAGCATGAATTATTCCGATATCTTCATTGTGTTATTGGGATGTCGACATTTGTACCAAATGCATTCCCTGTTCGTTCATGCATTGTCTGAATAAATTTATCCCATTTGTTAACGTGAAATTAGATTACATTATAATTTGTACGTACCTTTGGGGATCATATAAATAAGTCGAAACTATACAATTATATATAGTCATAGTGAGTTTATTTGTGTAACAATCTTTCATTTATAGATGTTAGGTTATAGACAAGCTAACGGCAAAGACAAACAAATGAAATCCATCACGTATTAAAAATAAATTATAAAAACCTCCAACACAAACCAATAAAACTTCAGGAAACTAATGTTGGGTATTAATTCGTTTACCCACTTGGATAATGTCTCTTTAATGATAATAATAATTCAAACAACACATGCATCGGTTACACAACCACTACACTATCGCGCCGATTAATGTATTATTTATCAAATAGCAAATCACCAATCAATACAACAATAAAACACAGCAAAAAATCAGATGAACTTTACCAATAACATGAAAATGTTAAATTACATGAACTGTAAAAAGAAAACTATTAAAAATACTAGAATTAAGCCTCAAACAATTCGACTTCAATGAAATGATATCAAATGTAAGAACAAATATATTAAAAATTAGGAAAGACCCCTTAAAATTTCATTGTTTTCCTATGTTAATATTCCGATCAATCTCAATTCTTAAGTTAATGATTGAATAAGCTCATGGAGAGTTCTACGACAATAAAATGTCCGTAGAAATTCCCTTATTGCATCGTTAAATATTTGAGCTTAACAACTTTAACAAAATATTGCAATAACAATCATAAATATGAATGCTAGTTGCCATTTAAAGAAGTAAGGGGGTACAAATGAATAGATTTGAAAATCACAACTTCTTTCATTTCACTGAAACAGACGTTAAACATTTTTACTTCCCTTCTTTATTTCTTTCGTTCGTACCGTCTTGTTTTTCTATGGAATCCATACGAAATACTCTATTATTTATGATGCTTTGGCAGGAGATGATAAAATATTTCTTGCTATCTATCTATCTATCTATCGATCTATCTATCTATCTATCTGTTGAAACTTGACTAATGCATGAAATAATAATGCAACACAAAAGGTACTTAGAACAAAATGTATTGAAACAAGAAAGTGTACACAATATTTACATATAGTCTTTTGTATATTCCTGGTAAGACCGTTCCTGGGGAATGTGTTAACTGAGTCGCAGTCGGGCAGAGTCTCTGGTTGAATCTCTTGATTCCTCCCCTCGTCTTCCCCGGTACCAACCATATTTATATGGTCGGTACTCCACTATGCAAATTAGGTGGATCCTACCACAACACTATCTATCTATCTATCTATCTATCTATCTATCTATCTATCTATCTATCTATCTATCTATTTAGCCCAAATCCCCGTATTATGAACATTTCCCTTAATAATAATTTTAAAATAATTCAGCAGCCGATGTTATTTTATTTATGGTAACTACTTTTTGCTTTACTCGGTTTCCATCTGAAAATTGGCGTATTTATCGCGGTCGTCATAGATTCTCGGCCCTTTGGCTGCTATCAAAGTGTAGTATCTGTTCTTATCAGTATCTGATTCTCTCTCTCTCTCTCTCTCTCTCTCTCTCTCTCTCTCTTGTTCTATGTTACTTTATATCTTTCTTTCTTCTTTCTTTCATTTTCTCACTGAAACCAAGTAATGATTTTTCCTGTCATTCCGCGATCAAAACGCGGAATAGTCCATCATTTATGTGTCATTGACCGGGCATAACGGTCGTGCTAATTAACGAAGGTTGGTGGTCTAAGCACAATTATAAAAGGATATATCACAATAAGGAAAACGACATTATAAGACGCACTGTCACGTGAAGACATGAAGAAGTGAAGACACGATATTCGTAAAGGATGAAACCGATATAGTGCACATATACACGCACAAAATACCTTGTAAATGGCTTACGAAAGCAAATTTATATTTGAATAGGCAGCGGAAACCAGGAAATTGCTTGGAAATATCGAATCAACAAATTCTTAACATAGACTTTAACTCGATAGTCTTTAACCAAACTTGTATACTTGTGCGCGTGCGTGCTCGGACACGTGATCACGTTGGCCAGTGATGTACGGTCTATGGAGGCTGTCGTCCAATTTTATCCCATTAAAACATCAAAGTGCCCGCCCAGGTGACAGTCTTCCTCCCCCTTGTCATCGGTTGCCCTCCTGCCTTTCTTCCCAGCCCGCCTTCCTCTTGTTTGCTCTTTCAAGTTTCTCCCGTCGTTTCGCGCTTTCATTAACAGCGCCCATCGCCTCTCTTACCTACCACCGCTTTCTTCCAATGCCTCATCATCTCTTATCAATCTGCTTCCTTCCTGTAACCATCTCTCCCTGCATCGATATATCTATATCCCTCAAACATTCTCTCTCTTTATATCTTTCTTAGACGGTATCGGCAAATCTATCTATCTATCTATCTATCTATCTATCTATCTATCTATCTATCTATCTATTCCAATCTGCCCATTATCTATATAACTGTCTAAGTAAATCAGTTATTTTCTATCTATCTATCTATCTATCTATCTATCTATCTATCTATCTATCTATCTATCTATCTAAATCACTTATTTTATATCTAATTATACCAGTCTGTTCACTCGGTTATTTAATATCTAGCTATACCAATCTGTTCACTATCTATCTATCTATCTATCTATCTATCTATCTATCTATCTATCTATCTATTCCAGTCTCTCAATTAAATTATCTATCTATCTATCTATCTATCTATCTATCTATCTATCTATCTATCTATCTATCTATCTATCTAAATCAGTACTTTTATATCTACTATACTAGTCTGTTCACTATCTATCTATCTATTCCAGTCTCTCAATTCAATTATCTATCTATCTATCTATCTATCTATCTATCTATCTGTGCAATTGTCTGTCTCTATCTATCTGTCATATTTTTAAATCAGTTAATTTATAATATATATATATATTTATTTATATATGTATATACAGATATATATATATATATATATATATATATATGGTATATATATATATATATATATATATATATATATATATATATATATATATATATATATATATATATATATGTATATGACGTCATAGAACCGCATCATGAATTTACGACCTATGTCTGCTATTCCGTGACCGTTATTGTCGCATAGCAATCATCTATATCAACATAACAGAATAGCATCTTCGATGGAGAAAATCTCTGTTAAAATGTCCGTATAACCACACTGAAGTTGGCTGATGTGAGCCGAAAGCTTAGATCAAGGAAGAACATAAAAAATATACAAATATTGGACAATTTCTGTCTTTATTTTGTCCCGGAATTAAAGCAAATATACGAAGTTTAGAACGGTTCATGATCAAACATAACAGATGAAACTTTATTTGAAGAATGTTAACTGATTTAAAGTTTAATTAATTTGATTTGAAACAAATATTATTTAAGTTTAAAACATCACAGAAATTCCTTTTTTTAACACAGTTGTTGATATTGTGTGCGTTTTTTAAACAATTCCCCCCAAGCAAGGCGATAATGCCACTAAGACACAAGGGGCTCCTGGAGGTGAAAGAGAATGAAAAGACATTTGGAGGAACAGGAAGTCCAATCTTAAATAGGAAACCGCTACTTCTCTTCCAAAGACCAAAGAGATCTGTGAACCGAGCGATAGACAAACCTATCTACTACTTGCTGAGAGCTTTCTTGACAACTGAAAATGTAAATTTTTTTTCTACGGTAGACATATCTGTAAAATTTACTCGAGAAATATAACGTTAGCACCTTTTATATATAATTTTTAACTTCTCAGTAATCTTAAAAGTTTAGGAATATATTCTCCGCAATCTAATGTTTCGTTGAATTTTAGGTAGTTTGGCTTTAAATTTACTATAGTTATCGCTCTTATTTTCTGATAATGTCATGTATGGACGTCCGTATTTACAAAAAACGTCCCGTATATACACACACATATCCGAAATTCTCTTTTCAAACCTCATAAATTATTCTAATTAAATTTTTAAAAATTAAAATAATTCTTGTAAAATTTCATTATTCATCGATTTTTTCTTAAGAAAATATCGTTCGTAATATATCTGATACATAAATGCAATTAAAAGTTGTTTTTTTCTAATTAAATAATGTCTTACTTTATTGCATTTTTTTATTTTACGATTGAGAGAAAGTTTTCGGTAAGTGGATGTCCTGTTTTACAAGAAAAAAAAAAAATTGATCATTTAAATTCTCCAAGGAGTTCTGCTTATAACTAATAAAAACATTAAGCCGCACAAAATAAATAAGTTAAATAAGTGGCAAACGTAGAAAAAATGTTTTTACAAAGATTTTCTGAGAAAGAGCTACTTTTACAGAGATTTTCTAGAAAGAGCCCTTTTTACAAAGATTTTCAGAGAAAGAGCCATTTGTACAAAGATTTTCTGAGAGAGAGCCATTTTTATAAAGATTTTCTGAGAGAGCTATTTTTACCAAGATTTTCCGAGAAAGAGCTACTTTTACACAGATTTTCTGAGAAAGAGCCATTTTTACACAGATTTTCTGGAAAGAACCATTTTTACACAGATTTTCAGAGAAAGAGCCATTTGTACAATGATTTTCTGAGAGAGAGTCAATTTTACAATGATTTTCTGAGAAAGAGCCATTTTTAAAACGATTCTCTGAAAATGAGCTACTTTTACACAGATTTTCTAGAAAGAGTCCTTATTACAAAGATTTTCATAGAAAGAGCCATTTTACAAAGATTTTCTGAGAAAGAAACATTTTTACAAAGATTTTCAAAGAAAGAGCTATTTGTACAAAGATTTTCTGGGAGAGAGCCATTTTTACAAAGATTTTCTGAGAGAGAGCTATTTTTACCAATATTTTCTGAGAAAGAGCTACTTTTAGACAGATTTTCTGAGAAAGAGCCATTTTTGCACAGATTTTCTGGAAAGAGCCCTTTTTACGCAGATTTTCAGAGAAAGAGCCATTTGTACAATGATTTTCTGAGAGAGAGAGAGTCAATTTTACAATGATTTTCTGAGAAAGAGCCATTTTTAAAACGATTCTCTGAGAAAGAGATACTTTTACACAGGTTTTCTAAGAAAGAGCCATTTTCCCAAAGATTTTCTAGAAGGAGAACTTTTTACGAAGATTTTCTGTGAAAGAGTCCTTTTTACAAAGTTCTTCTAGAAGGAGCCATTTTTACAATTTTTTTCTAGAAAGAGCCATTTTTTACAAAGATTTTCTAGAAAGTGTCATTTTTACAAAGATTTTTTGAGAAAGAGCCATTTCTAAAATAATTTTATTTATTTGTGAATAAATCGAAAAAGTTTTCATTATTAAGGTAAGTGCAAACAAGAGCACAATGTACTACATCGGTGCGACTGAGGAACCATTCAAGAAAAGAAAACGCAACCACCATCTGTCATTCTCCGACATAAAATACTCAAACAGCACTACAATATGCACATACATATGGCATCTAAAAGACAGAAATATTACCCAAAGAAAAAGCAGCTAAATATTGAAAAACGCACCTGCCTACAACAACATAACAAAGAAATGCCTACTTTGCCTACACAAAAAGGTAGCGATAATTTCTTACACCCAACAAAAGAAATTACTAAACATAAGATCAGAACTACTTTCTAAATGCAGACATAAAAACAAATACCTATTATCACAATTTATACCAAACGGATAAAAAAAATACCTACCACCACTGCTACATAAACCATCATTGACCCTATGAATACGAAAATAGAAACCACTAACACCGTAATACCATCAATTATTTTCTAGTTCAAACTACCATCATAATAATTATAATTATTGTTATTACCATTCCACCACCATTACTACAATCACTCCTAACATTTTACCATAACTATTTGCTGCTCACTTGTTATTATCATCACCCGCTCCCCCAATATTACTACCTCATCACAATTACCATTGCCGATTTAGTCCACAATTACTACCGCACCACAATTAGCATTACCGCATCAGTCCACAATTATACCCCCCCCCAGAAAAATTAATGCCACCTTATAAATACCAATAAGTATTATGAATTGGAATTTCTAACATTTACATAAATGCAATCGCCAGAAACAAGCAAATAACTGGCTTTAAAATAATAACAAAACAACATTAAATATTAAAAATGATAACAATTTTACTTACCGTAGCTTACACAAACCCCATCTTAAGATAAAAAAGGACGGATAGATGTGTGAACGCACGTGCATACGTATATATGTGTGTGTGTGTGGGAAAACATTATTCCACGAACAAAATAGACGAACGGTCTGTGCGTTGACACTGCGACTTGCGAAAGAAGTTCGCTACACAATCCAACATTGAATACAGCGACTAATTGAATACGTATGCACGCAACGACACATGGATATGCATATCCAGTCTCACACTGTTCATATATACTTATGTTTGCGTGATCTGCAATTCGTGAACGTGCATGTATGTATGTCTGCATACATATGAGTTGCGTTCCGACGACAATTTTCCCTCCGACATAAAAACACCGACATACGCAACCATATATAAAACCAAAATATAAAAATTAATCAGTTTGTCTGACGATCGCAAATAGCGTGAAACCCAGGTCACAAACTCACATAAATCCAACTATATATATATATATATATATATATATATATATATATATATATATATATATTGTCATTCACAGGCATACTGTTTCGTTATATAAATATAAATATAGGTTTTGATCAATTGCTGATTTTGTTACCTTGTTTTTGAAGTAAAAAGTGATTTTCTCGTTTTGCATAATAATTTCAGACGGCAGTTTTTATAATAAATTTAATGACTTTAATAAAACGTGTTCAACTTACCTAAAAAATTGAACTCAATATTTGTTTTGACGTCTAAATTAATCGTCGGAAGTTATTCCGCAAATCACATAAACCTCAATAAGTCGAATTTCCTCTGAACAAGCTTTGAAACATTTACATCTTAAAATAGTGAGCCTTTTTCTCAATAAAACCCAGCCATCTATTATCGATTGGTTTTGTGAAATGTTTACTCCGACGGGTCCAGTTTCTCCTAGGCCTGTTTTGCTGTCATATTGTTTGCCACCTTCATATAATTACATCTTCACAAGTGACCATATATTTTCGAGCGGATTCAGATCGGGACTTGGTGGATGCCATTCCATTATCTTCTCTCCTGTAAACCATAAATCTTCGATGGATCCTGCCGCCTTCATCAGTGCTTAATATTGAATAGTTTTTCATGAATAGCTACACATAATGAGGAAGGAAGGCTTAGAAAATTCGACACCTACATATCGAAGATAAAAGAAGCAGAGTGAAGCAGCGCGATACCTACTTGACGTGAATGGATAGCAGAACGAAATTAATTAATTAATTTCCGAGAATTCCACAGGTATCCATTTTGGTTTGCAACAAATTAAATGACCATCAGTCCAGATAAGAATTTTCTATTTGTTTTTGTTATGGGATCTTACCCATAATAATAATAATGGACTATTCCATACTTAATAAATGCTGCGCCTCAGGAGTAGGCAAGGAGTCAATCGTTCAAGTCTTGAACGACAGATCGGTTGAACTCTCTGCCTTCGGGCGAGGACGATCCAGAAAGAGGCTACGCTGAGGGGCGGATTCTCTTTCGGGGCGGTAAACCGAACCTGAACCCGTTTATACGGGTTCAATGGGCATATTTTTGGCCGGGCCCACGGGCTCGGAGAGCCCACGTTAAAAAGGCCTTGTGCCACATGACGCCCTCGTGGGGGGTGACTATATATCATCAGTCGCTCAAGTCTTGACCGGCTGATCGGTTGAACTCTGTCTTCGGGCAGGGAGGAACCCGAAGGAGGCTACGCCGAAGGGCGGATTCTCTTTCGGGGAGGTAAACCGACCCTGAACCCGTTTATAAGGGTTCAATGGGCATCCACAGCCGAGCCCACGGGCTCGGAGATCCCACGTTAAACCAGCCTTGTGCCACATGATGCTCACCTGGGGGGGGTGACTAAATATAGTCAGTAGTTCAAGTCGAGTCAAGAGTCGAGTCAGAGGCAGTCCGAAACAGAGTCGCGTTCAGACAATTACTGCAAGACATTGGAATAGTGATACTGGTCGAGACTACATTGTGCTCTCTACTAAACCTGATTGTTCATACTAACACTTCTATTTCTCTGTATATATTCCTGTTTGTAATATATCTGTGTTATTCCATACCTGTGTTCAAGTTCTTCTTTATTGGTTCTACCTTGGACTATCAACGTGGTACTAGGAACCGGACCGTAACAGTTTTGTAATCCTGGCAAACCTCGGAGTGCAAAAACCCAATGCACTCTTGTGATTAAATCAAAACAGGCAACAACTTTTGGTAGATGGACGTTTTCTTTTAAAACAATATTTGAAGGTGGCAGTCATTCAGTTGCTATTTCCAGACGAAGAAAAGTTAAAGTCAGTGTCTAAAGGGTCCGCTTCCGAGACGAGAAGCGCTGAATAGAGGAACCTACCTCTTCAAGAGAATATTACTAAGCGCTAGAAAGGAGAGAGTCATGAAACCTTACGCCCTGAATAATAGATGTAGAGGTTTTAAATCTTTAGTTTCCTCTTTCTTTTTGCGCTCTTTCCTTTGATTTTCTTTTCTTTCGTTTTCTATTCTCTGATTCTCTTTTCCTTTTCTTTCTTTTTAACACCCCCACCCCGTTCATTTTGCTTCTCCGATTGATGCAAGTCTCCCTTCCTGCATTTCCCAAGCCATGGATACACAGACAGGATCTAACGATGATCCCTTTACAAGCTAAGTGTCAATCACACAAAGCGATCCCTTCCCTACCCAGTTCTCTGCGCTGGTCAGGGACTGAGATGCTGCGGTTGGCGGGATGAAGTCTAGGGGCAGATATACGTTGCAGGTGGGGAGAAAAGGAAATTCAGTTCGGAGGAAGGAGATACGGATGCAGTCGATTTTTGTTTTCCATGTCGCTTGTCAATCTCATTCCAGTTTCCCCTCATACTGTCTAACCATAATTCTTTAGTCAGAAGATAGGAAACAAAAAATAAATAAATAGAAGGAATCGATTATTTTCTCTTGTAGCTTTTTTTTTTTTTCTTAGTATTTTCTTCATGTTTTTTTGCATTCGTTGGATTTGGCGTTTGTCATGATTGTTGCTCAGGGTGTACTTTCGCAAAACAATTTCTTCTTCGATTATTGAGAGTCTGTCTTTTGCGTTTTGTCTTGAATTCTTCATATGAAAAGTCGGTATTTTGACATCAGCAGCACCCTCATATTATTTATTTATTTATTTATGGTTGGTATCCGAATGACAAAATGGAAAAGAATTCTCTGTAACGTATTTCTGCCTTCAAAAGGACTTCATCAGACGAAAATAAAGTGCTTATTGATGGAATTATATACATATATGTATTTAATCGCTAGATCATCCAGAGCAACGTGGGGCGCATGCCCCACCGGTGAGGCATGGTAATATTTTGGTGGGGCATGCGTAGGATGTGCACCCTTCAGGTTACTATACCAACGTGAGCTCAAATTTCATTTTGCATTATTATTTCATGATTAAAATGATTAAAGTATATTACAGAATAAACTTTCATTCAAATATTTTATATTTCTGCCATTCAGTTCTTAATTATATGTTTTGAAACAATATATATTTAACTGTCTTTGTATTTTTTTTAATCTTTCTCTTTCATGGACGCCATGGTCTTTGGAGGCTTGTTTAGAGACAAAGTTAATGGCCATTTAAGTTTCCTTCACGTAAATTGCAGTAAAATTTTGAATATGTAAAAATTAAATATTACGCGGTGGGGGGCACCAGAATCTGAGAAAAACCAAAGTGTGGCATCGCCACAAATCGGTAGCGAACCACTAATCCAGAATAAATTTGCGTCCAGGTTCTTGCATTTCACCATTCACCATTTCACCATTAAAATTTCCACCGTCCCCAGGGTACCTCATTCATTAGCATCAAAGTAAACATAAATTTCGTCGATCTAAGGGTCGAAACATATGTCATATTTCTTTCCGCTAAATGTTCTTGATACATAAAAAAAATACATATCGTTAATATTGGTGTTAAAGAAGAAAGGTTTGTCTTAAAAGGACATTTGTGCAATTAAAACAATTTCAATTAAAACAATACTAATTTAGTTTACGTCAAAATTACGAATTTTCACTTTTCCAGTCATCAATCAACGCCATTTTCTGATACCTGTTGTCAAGCGATAACAAACTTATTTAAACATTTAAAAAAAAAAAAAAAAAATGTTTACATCTCTTAAAAAACAGAAACTGTTAATTTGATTAATTGTGAACAAGATTAAAACCAAATTACTTACTTTTGTTGTTAAAAAAGCAATGAAAAACAACTTTTTGGCGAGGGAGGTTTTTTCCCCCTCTCCACCTTGATGATTTGCTTTCTAGAACACCCTTCTCTACTGATATATATATATATATATATATATATATATATATATATATATATATATATCAGTTCAGTGATGTGTCCATGCGTGATACACGCTTAGGCGATCATGTATCTTTCGATACATGACTGACGAGGCAGATTTTTCCCGCAGTGGGTTGCCATTTCTTTCTGCGGTAAACCAGTTGCCATCCAAGGCTGTAGAACCCGGTCTCTCCTGCTATTTACCCATAGCTGGGGGGGGGGAGAAGAAGAGGATTCATACATTTCCGAAGCGTATCAGCACGTAAGTGAATGTAATGGATTTGACTGATATTCGAACTCGGCTCTCCGATTCCTCAATCCGAGCCGCTATCCATTTCTCCACCGTGAATCCTCTCTCTTTCTTTCTCTCTCTCTCTCTCTCTCTCTCTCTCTATATATATATATATATATATATATATATATATGTGCGTGTGTGTGTGTGTATGTGTGTGTGTGCGTGCGTGTGCGTGTGTAACAGCAAAATTGTCCAAATCGTGTATGAGCATGGGATTATTGTACTGCCAGCAAAATGTTTAATATCTAAAAAAAAGCACTAAACTAATTGAATTTCTTATTTCCAGGTTTTTAGATAAGATGTTTAACCATGTTGACATCATTTGTCGTAAGAATCATTGAAAAACCATTTGAGTTATGCAGCTAGAAAGGGAACGGGTTAAAATCGTTTTGTCCCAGATTCCCTGCCTTCCCAACTGAGCAATGGTGAGAGGAAAAAGATCATTCAGTACGAACATTTATACTCTGGCCTCCATCTTCAAAGTTCATTGAAGGACCACCCAGAGAATGGTAAATAAGTTTAAATAAAAAGGAACAGTAAGGAGGAAAACTGAATCACGAGGTCACAACAGGAAGAGTGATCATCACTTAGAGCTAAAGAGATCAATTAGAAAAGATCCAATTCAATGTACAAGACGTTTGGCACGTGAGAGATGAGTTTCAGGTACGACAGTTCAAGGAGCAGTGAAAAAAACTTGAAAATGAAATCGTACGTGAAAACTGTGACACACCATGTTACGCAAAGACAGTAAGTTAGAATATTAGAGAGGGTGAAGATCATTTTTAATAAGTTGGAAAATGATCCTGAAATAATATATATATATATATATATATATATATATATATATATATGAACTTTATTTCAATCCTTCGTGAGCTTCCGATCCTTAGCTATTATTAATTAATGATGAACATGTCATTTTCGTTTATGATCGATTTCATTACGATTCTTCTGTTAAGCTTGGAGAGTAATTATACATTCTTATTGCTCAATGTAGAGTCCAATAGTGTTATCCAGCAAGATATCTTTAATTATTTCTGAGATACATAGATTAATCTAACAATTGTACAATTTTTTCTGTTACACCCGATATATATATATATATATATATATATATATATATATATATATATATATATATATATATACATGCACAATATATATATATATATATATATATATATATATATATATATATATATATATATATATAGTCATCCAATAAGAAGAACAAATTCAAATCGTTGTGTGTCAGGTCAAATGTCTTCCCAACTGAGCAATGGTGAGAGGAAAAAGATCATTCAGGCCTTCAGTACGAACATTTATACTCTGGCCTCCATCTTCAAAGTTCATTGAAGGACCATCCAGAGAATGGTAAAGAAGTTTAAATAAAAAGGAACAGTAAGGAGGAAAACTGAATCAGGAGGAGGTCACAACAGGAAGGGAGATCATCACTTAGAGCTAAAGAGATCAATTAGAAAAGATCCAACTAAATGCACAAGACGTTTGGCACGTGAGAGATGATGCACCATTTTACTCCAAGACAGTATGTTAGAATATTAGAGAGGGTGAAGATAATTTTTAATAAGTTGGAAAATGATCCTGAAATAATATATATATATATATATATATGTGTGTGTGTGTGTGTGTGTGTATATATATATATATATATATATATATATATATATAATTATTTATTTAAAAATATGATTCCAACTCGCGACATAAGAGGTCCCATGTTTCAAAACAAGAGCCGAAAACTTCAATATAATTATTTAAATTAAATTGAGTTAAAGTAAGCTCTGTTCCATCTTCAAGCGAAATTTTTTGGGGAATAACGTATTTCTGAAATTTACGTGTTTTAATAATTGAAATCAAAATTTCCATGGTAACGGCTCGAGCGAATTGTTTAAATTGGGTAGGCGTGTGTTGGGTGTTAATAATAAGTATCAGTATAGAGTTACTTATGTGTGTGTGTGTGTGTGTGTGCGGGCGTGCGTGCGTGTGCGTGTGTAACAGCAAAATTGTCCAAATCGTGTATGAGCATGGGATTATTGTATTGCCAGCAAAATGTTTAATATCTAAAAAAAAACTAAACTAATTGAATTTCTTTTTTCCAAGTTTTCAGATAAGACAATGAGCCATCTTGACACAATTTGTCGTAAGAATCACTAAAAAAAACCCTTTGAGTTATTCAGCTAGATAGAGAACACGTTAATATCGTTGTGTGTCAACCCCACTGTCTTCTCAGCTGAGCAATGGTGAGACGAAAGCGATCATTCAAATCTTCAGTGATGTTACCAACATTCATACTCTGGCCTCCACATTGAAAGACCATTCAAAAACTATCACGAGAACGGTGAATAAGTTTATAAAAAAAAGAGTACAGTAGAGAGAAAAACTGGATCAGGTCCAAACAGCAAAAGGGATCATCATTACAACTTAGAGCTAAATACATTCTTTTTGTTCAAAGTACAGTCCAATAGTGTGATAAAAAAACCTCGGAGAATTCCAGTAAGAAACGGTTCAAACTTAATCTAACAATTGGACAATTTTGCTGTTACACGGTTGGGACAATTTTGCTGTTACAGCCAGTATTCATTATGCGATGGATAAATTGTCGTCTAGCTTACGCAAAAAAAAAAAAAAAAATGAAAATAGCATTTCATTTTAACAGTCATATTTACCAAAAATACACAAAAATATCTTAAGATACTAAAGAGTAAATTCATACAACAAAATCGCCATTGCATTCAACCAAGGCCTCCAGACGACTTCAGAATCTCCTGCAACTTTTCTGGGTGGTCTCTTTGTTTAAGTTGGTGAATGTTGGCATAATCCTTGCCTTCAGTTCATCTATGGTGTAACAAGGAGTTTTGTTGGTCTCTTACTCAACGCCGCCCTACACATAATAATCAAGGGGGTTGCAGTCTCGCTAAACTCAAGGGGGTTGCAGTCTTGGTATGTAATGGCGATACGATCGCAGAAATTGTCTGACAGTCATAACTGAGTTCTCCGGCTTGTGTGGCATGATACAGAGTTTTGTTGCTAGACATAGGTTCTTCCAGCAGCCAACCTATTGTTCCAGAGC